GGTGGTAACCTACTATACCAAATTTCAGCCACTCCACTAAGTGTTAAATGGAAAGCTCTGCATTTCACAGCTAGGGTGGCGCCCCTTAGGCTCATGTGAGTTTTATAAGCATTCAGGTGCTTCTCTGGGTCGCCTCTTCCGTCATACTTTGGTATCTTTGGCATTACATAGCGGCTTGGAACCTAGGCATTCCTTAGTTCCCTTGAGAATGACAAGTTTTCATCATCGTCGTCCAAGTCATAGGACCTCTGCTGCTCATCTGAATCGTATTCATCGGCCTCATGCCGTGGTTGGTGGTGAGAAGTTCTAGGACGGTTCCTAGCCTTTCCTCCCTCCTCTGGCGCCTATTTCTAGGCGGAGCAACACGAGGGGTATTTTCATGCCTTTCTTCTGGCTGCTGGGACATTGGAGGTGGAGGCGGTGGCCTTGTCCAAGGCTGGTGAGCCTGCTGTTGCCAAAGCCTCGGTTCAGGGGGGCTAATTCTGTCAAATACACTGTCTGCCCTCCTATGTCTTGACTCTTGCTCATACGGAGGTGGGAAGTTATCATGGTTCAATGGGACCTCGATGGGGTCGGCCAGAAGTGTAGTTGGAGGAAACATCAATTTCCACTTCTCTTTCAAATGGGCTTCCACCTTGGCTATAGTCCGACAAGGCAGCTCTATGACTTTAAATTTCATCTTCTTGCTGGTAGTGCCCTTGAGGGGCGTATGGAGGAATAGGAAAGCCTCCCTGGCCCTACATTTGGGTCATGAGCTCCCTCATAGCCAAGTTTTGGCTAGCAATATCCCTCATGTTGGCTGCCATGTCAGCCATTTCTCTTGATAGTCGTGCCTCGCCCGCATTCTACCTCTTCTTTGGTGGTGGTGGAGTCTTTGCCGAGCTACTGGAGCAACGGGTAGAAGAGGCACATTTGCGTTTTCTCTAACCCTCCTGGGGGGTGTGTCTTCGTTTGAACTCATTTTCTTTTCGTTTGACTCTTCAAATTTTGCTAAGTTGTGAGGCTTCCTCTTGTTTTTTTCAAGAACAAATCCTTTTTCAAGGGGGATGCCCAAATGTTCTTCAATAAGCTTTCACTACAAGGTTATTCGTGGTTATGGTATGGCTTCCCACAGACGACGCCAATCTGTTGACCCAAAAAAATGTTGCCAACAGATGCCGGACCCACCCGTGCACACGTGAGCGAAGGTCCTACATGTTTAAGACACATGGATGGTATAGAATGAACTGATCAGGGGCATGGGAGTAGCTCAACGACGCGAGACGAGAACGTTCGGAATTTGACGGGATGTTTGCAATCCGATTGTACAATAATTACCAATCGGTGCTCATGAATGTGCATGTAAATATGTATGAATCCGTATGGTGTTGTAAGGTAATATGAAAGAGATAGTAAAGTGTGGTTTCTTGTATTGATTCTTGTATTAGTCCTTCAATGTTACACAAGGGAAGTATTTATAGTGGTACATGTGAAATGACAACCATTGGATGAGGTGGCACTTGGCCTCAACTCTTTAATCCAAACATCCAATTCTAGGCATCATCCTTGACTTGCTAGCTTGCTGCGCATTTATTACTTATGCAGAACCCCCATGCTAATGACAAGACTTGACATGTACACTTATGACAAACGTTCCATCAATCATTCTAACAAGATCTTTATGTAGAAGATCTCTTGGGAGAAGTGATTATGGAAGACGTTCTTCCATGGTTTGGAGGCTTCTGCCACTCACGTAGTACTTCCGCTTTAGGGCTTCGACTATCTTCACAGGCCTCGACATATGAGCCTCGGCATGAAGGGCCTCGGCCACACATGCCACCTCGGTTAGAGCGTCATGTGGTTCGGATTGAGTGGGCCATAGGCCCAAATAAGTTGGCCAAGTATGACAACACGTAACAATTTATAGTTTGTTGAGTGTTTGGATTTTTGTGAAGGCTTACCTCTTTGAGCAGTTCTTGAAAACACATAAGCTGCTGAAGTTTTGGAGGCCATTTCTCATGCCTTGTACATCAGCACTTGAATGGATCCCTAATTTTTAGGTTTGGATATGGTTCGGTTCAGTTTTATTCTAAATAGAATCGAATCGAACCTGAATTTTCTGATATTTGGAAAGTGGAATCGTCTGGTTCAAATTTAATTATGGAACCGGTCGGATTCGGTTCAGTTCAATTCGACTTCCGAGTTCCATACACTAATTAACTTTTTGAATATTTACAACAATGCTACATTAATTTAATTTATGATACGTTCAATTTTAGCTCTTATAGAATAACGTAGTCCAAACTTTTGCACCTCTCTTTTGTTGAGTTCTTCGTAGATTTCGTTGTTAAAATCATATGAAGAGGAAAATAGCGAGAACAGTAATGAAGAGAGGCGTAGCTAAACTTACAACTCGATTTCTCCAAAATAATAGAAACAATACTACAGTAGAATAAGACATTAGGCAAAACTTATGTTAATTTGATTATGTTGGACTTGGGTTGAAAATTAGAAATAAGAAAATCATATTTTGGGCTTGAGCTAAATTAATTAATTCTTAATTAATTTTCTTTCCTAATAAATTTAGAAAAAATAAAATAATTCGACTTATTTAAGATTAAAAATTAGAGATATTCGGTTCTTATTCGATTTTTTGGTTTTGGGTCTAAGATCGAGAATCAAACCGAACCTATCGATTCTCGATTCAAATGCATGTTCGGATATTTAATTTAAAAAGAACCACTCGATTCGATTCAGATCCAGTTCGGAACTACTGTCCCGCCTACTAATTTTGGTTCTCATTTGGTGGTTATCTATTTTTAATGAACTTCCAGATTTGGCACTTCCTTAGAGGAATTCTTACATCAAATTTTAATTCTAACAAAAGTCTCCAAATTTTTTTTATTCTTATATTTACAACTTTTTCCTTCACATTTTTATCTTTAACTTTCAATTTAATTGACATATTTTGTCCGTGTATTATTCAGATATTATGTTAACTTGCATTGAAATGAGGGAGGAATATTTGGTCAAACTTTTCTATTTGTTTTTAAATTATTTATTTAAAAAAAAAACTAGAGACAAATAAAAAAATTTATGCCTTCATAAAAATCTTTTGGTAAAAAATTATCGTCAAATATAAGATTTATAAACTAGTAGAAGGTTAAAGATAAGAACAATGAAAAAAAAGTTATAAGTGCAAAAATATGCAAAGATTAGGGACATGCATTGCAAATAAAATGTAGCGCAGTTAATAAAAATTAGGGAAAATTGTAACGACGGTCCCTAATCTTTTCTTTTTGGCAAACTTTACCCTAATTTTCATTTTGTGTCAACAAAGATACCTAACCTTTCATAAATCTATACCTAAGGTCCATTTGAATAGAATCCGTCCAAAACAACGTCAGTTGATCGGGAAAATTCCTTGAACTATCTGCTATCGAGACGATTTTATTGAATGTTGATGTCTTTTTGGACGGTGTTATTGGATGGTATTTTTGACGATTTTATTGGATGTTGATTCCTTAATTTTTCCGATCAACTAACAATGTTGTGGACAGTTTCCATTCAGATGGACTCCATGTGCATATTTATGAAAGGTTGGGAACCTCCGTTGACAAAAAATGAATGTTAGGATAAAATTTGTAAAAAATAAAAATGTCAGAGATTGCTACTGCAATTTTCCGTAAAAATTATGGTCAAATTTCCAGTGTACTAGCCAACAATCTCGAGATAATGAATTTTCTCTTAAATTTTCCAAGATTTGCCTCCTGAAAATAAGTATGAGAAAAAATTGTAAATAATCTCTTACATCTAAACATGTTATAAAACTCTTACATTTAAGTCATCCTACAAAACATTCTATGTAGCAACATGTTATCTAAAACATTAATTTTCTATAATTTTATTGTCTTAAGTTAATGTCTCAATAACAAAAGTTACACATGAGATGATTACTATAGTCGTTGAATATGAATTATATTACTCAATAGATTACGACAACGCTCAATGTTCATTTTGATTGTAATTGAGTATAACATTTATAATAGTAATTTTTTTTCCCATAATGTCAATTATTTTCGAATTTCCATTGAATTTCCTTGTATTGACGAGACACTTATATATATATATATATTTTAAGGAACATATTACTAGTCTATGTATATATAGACACACACATGCATATGCATATATATTTTCGATACATGATGAGTCGAATTAATCGAGAAGCAACTGTATTTACTAATATGAAAGCAAATGAAGGAGAAGACAAAAACGAAACAAGGAAAAAATGCTTCTCGATTAATTCGACTCATCATGTATCGAAAATATATATGCATATGCATGTGTGTGTCTATATATACATAGACTAGTAATATGTTCCTTAATTATTTTCATAAGCTCTTAAATCCCACTAATTGGCACGTCTAAGAACTTGAACTAGTAATCAAGGTACACTGCGCTCGAATGAAATTAATATGACTCGTTCAACACTCAAGTTAAGTATTAATTCAAATGATCAGAAATAAGATCTCACGAGGCACGTTCAATATATTCCAAACACATTATTGTTCTTACTACCAAGTTTAGATAAATTCATAAATGAACAATGTGATCTTCTCAAAATATAGTTTCCAACATATATATTAATCTTGAACAATTTTTTTGTTCGTGTTATAAATTTCATCTCTCTATACTTCACCACTTGAAAGATTCATTGATAGTGTTCAATTCGAGTTCCCTCAAGATCACTGAGATGAGTACCATGCTGTAAAGTTCAGGGTTCCGTGAAATTAATAGAGACACATATAAGTTGGCCCGAACATCCATGGTTTTAAAAATTAAAAAAAAAAAATAGAGATTCATTGGCAGTGAGCCACAGTGATCTGCTACAAAAAATACGAGACTAACTAATCACATGGATAATAAGTGAGGAACCAATAGTGCAATATTGCGTAATTTCGTAAACGACATCGTATTCTCCATTTAATGACCTATTTCAACCCTAATTTTCAAAATAACCCTTTCGTATTCCAGATAATTGAACACGAACAATTTAGATCAAAATTCATTCGAAAATCACTAGAATCCTAATAATTGATGATTAGTAAAATCAAATTAAATCGAAAGGAAATGGACACCCACCCATCGCAATTGACGGCGCCACTGCGCTCACGAAATTCACAGTCGCCGTCGCCGTCGCACTCTGCGTCAGCTTCCGCCACGTCTTCGATCCGCAAGCGAAAGCTGGCGCATGATGACCACGCGCCCCCATTCCCCTCACCGTTTTCCGATACGCGTGATGGCGCTCTAACATCTAACGACGACCTGGATAGCATCAGCGCCCGCGGAGCCGACTCGGACTCCGATGACCAATCGGAAGAGGTCGTCGACGAGGAGTATGATGACTCTTCAATGCGCAACTTCACCACCTCTCGGCTGGAAAACAGTGGCCCCACTGCTGTGGCAGCTAGGAACTCGAAGCTCAAGACTGAGAATTCAGTGAAAGTTGAGCCTGCTGATGTGACAAAAGATGGCGGGACTAATAACAATAGTTTTGTCGGAAATTCTGGGGTCCCTGGGATCGTAGTGAAGGAAGATACTGCGAAGAGTATTTTTACGGAAAATATACAGACTAGTGGAGCTTACACTTCAAGGGAGGAGAGTTTGAAGAGAGAGGTGACTGTGAAATATTTTAAATTTTCTGATTCATTTTGAAGATTCTTATTTATGCAGATTTTTTTTATTTTTTCTGTGATGTGAATTCGATCAAATTATAAATTAAACAAATAAAATTACGTGCCAGTAGTTATTTTGAGATTGGTTCTTTGATTAATTCACAAATATTTATCAGTAATCACGCAAGTCTCTAAGAATGAAAATGCAGAGAGTGCTATTGCTCCAAAGATGAAAAACAACAGTCCTGGGATACAATAAAGTCCCATTGGAACTCTTCTGCAGGAGCGCAAAAATAAATACCTTAATGTGATATCGTGGTTGCATATGTAGGAAGGCATTTGAGAATCCTGCTTTATATCATATGGTCAAGTTCGCTGTCATTGTATCTCCCTGTGGGGTTATTTAAGTACTGATGACATAGTGATAGTAGTATTTAAGTGCCTCAAGGTGTTCACGTGTGAAGTAATACATACAGCATAATTGTGTTCATTATGCTGGAGCCTTTTGGATACTTATTCGATTATCGTGAAAATGTTTGAAACACTGTCGATTTGCTCAATAGAGTTTCACATCATCCTTTTTCCTTATAAGTGGCTAGCGTAAAATTTACATTTTTCATAATTTACAGGAACAAACAGGAAAGCTGAAATTCGTCAGTGTCTCAAACGATGATATTGATGAGCATATGGTTTGGTATTATATCACTTTTCTTGAAATCCATGTTAATCTTTGCTTGTTTAATATAAATTTTTCTTCTTTACTTTATATTCTCTTTGCTCATAGTTTCTTGTAGAAGGAACCTGTTCGTCATTCACTTTTTCAGAACAGTTTTTTTCTTAAACTCATTTTCAGCCACACATTTACATAACAATATATTTTACACGTAAATCAAAAACTTTTTCCTACTTTTTAGCCACATATTCTACAAAAGAAATCACTATTTCAAAACCCATTTTCCCCAAAAAAAACTCTTTTTAAGGGCTACCAATCAGAGGCTAAGCTCGTTCATAGATAAAAGAATTATGGCCTCAAACTTGTTCTAATTATTAACTTTTTGTTCTTATGTATTTCAGGTTGATAGGATTGAAAAACATTTTTGCTAGGCAACTACCTAATATGCCCAGGGAGTACATTGTTCGCCTAGTAATGGACAGGTATGCCTGTGAATTCTGAATTCTTTGCATTTAATAGTATATGCTAGCTTGATTTTTATATTTGGTCAATATGATTCTGTTAGTTTTTGTTTTTGGTCCAAGTCTGTGTTGTTACCTGGAAAATTTTGGACGTTATGTGACTTCATTGACTAATGAATTAAACAAATTACAGTAGCAAGTGAGAGGAGCCTGTATGACAATGTTCTTCAGTTTCTTCTGATAGAGATACTAAGCATAATGCTAGTCTAGATCCTGCGATTAAAACTTAAAAAAACTTGTGTTGTCAATTATGGAGGAGTCTTTCTGGTTCATCTACCTAATTTGAATGCCAATCACTACAGTAACAGAAGTATTCATATTTCTTCCAAATCTTAAATGGATACCCAAACTCCATTGTAATTGTTTTGTGAGTTTTTCCTGTCCATTACGAATTGCCTTCACTTTCTAAATTCGGATAGTTTATGCTACACAAATTTGCAAGTTAATAACCTGCCATTAGATTTGAACTATCAACTGGTTTAACGATGTTTCCTGGAACATAATAGCTTTTGAAGTGGTTTAAAAACCCTTCATGTGTTTCTTGTAAATGGAAACTTTTTATCAGTTTCTTTCATGAGTCTATCTGCTGCAGGAATCATAAATCTGTAATGGTCATCAGACGTAATCAGGTTGTCGGTGGTATAACTTACAGGCCCTATATCAGGTAATATATGTTGTATCATTATCATGTTATGCTTCCATTTGAAGAGCGAGACTGTTTAAGACAATTATTTCTCATGCCTGATGTCACTGCCAGCAGCACCAAGATAGGAATTTTTTTATGTGGTAACTTGGTCATACTTCCCATTTCCTTGATTTTATGCATTTCACCATGGGAAAATTGCAGCAACGGTTTCTAACCTTTTCGTTTTTTGCGGACTTTACCCTAACCTTCATTTTGTGCCAACGAAAGTCTCTAACATTTCATAAATATGCACTTGAAGTCCATTTGGATGGAAACCGTTCAAAACATTATTAATTGATCGGAAAAATTTCTTGAACTATCTGCTATTGCGATGGTTTTATTGGATGTTGATACCTTTTTTAACGGTATTTTTGGCCGTTGATTCCTTAATTTTCCTTGTCAACTGATGGTGTTTTGGACGGTTTCCGTCCAGATGGACCTCGGGTGCATATTTATGAAATGTTAGGAACCTCCACTGGCACAAAATGAAGATTGGGGTAAAATCTGCAAAAAAATGAAAAGGTTAGGGATCGTTGCTGCAATTTTCCCTTTCCACCATTACTCACTTGCCCTTGTGCACTGTATAAGAAATTAGTTGAAGATGCAAATGTTATCAAGCAAGAGGAAAAGCTAAGTTGGTTACCCCTTTATGTTTGTGTTGCTTATGAAATCCTCCCTCTCTCTGTCTCTCCTTTTTCACTTACATGCTGAAATTGGAGTACATGTAGCCAAAGATTCGGGGAGATAGCTTTTTGTGCGATCACTGCAGATGAACAAGTTAAGGGCTATGGCACCCGGCTGATGAATCACTTAAAGCAGCATGCACGTGATGTGGATGGCCTAACACATTTTCTTACATATGCTGACAATAATGCCGTTGGTTACTTTGTCAAGCAGGTCTGACATTTTATTCTAAGCACTTGTCATTTTCAATTTATAGGAAAATTGCATGATCCATTAGTTAGCACATGATAATGTCTAGCTATATGAGAGAACCATTTTCCTTACTCTTTTATTATTATTATTTTTTATTGAGCTGCAAAAATTGTCAAAAGAGAAACTACACCTGAGAAGAATGAGAAATCTGATGCATAAAGCTGCTAGAATGAAATGAAGGTTATGGTTGCACTCAAACTTTATTATTCCATGCTAGAAAGGGGGGGTGGGGGTGGGTGTTGAGTGGTAGACCTGGAAATCATACATTCTGTGCAATCATTATTAGAATAAGATAAGAATTGAGAACCTCTGTTACTTGAACGTGTTAAATACCCCAACAATGTTTGTGGAGTTTATGAGGGAATCTTTGAAACTGGGGAAGTGAATATGTTTTCAGTCATTCTGTTGTAATGAGTACCTTCTTATTATAATTGTTGACCTCTTCGTGTAGGTTGAGTAATGGTTTGCTGGTAAAGGTTACAGAAAAAGAAGGGAATGAGTTTCTCGTTATAGATAGAGATTGTTTCCCTTTTAGGCCATGTTTGATATGGAAGATTTTTCATGGAAAATGGAAAAAATTTTGCATTTTCCAACTTTTTGCTTATTTGATAGCATAAATTTTCCATGGAATTCATTTTCCCCCTCCCCCACCACGTGACCTTCTTTTCCTTAAATTGGTGGAAAACTTTGGTGAGAAAATGGGTTTTCCACCTTTTTCTTTTTGGGCAATGGAAACAAATTCTATTCACCATTGTAAAAAAAATATATCCATTTAATTGACAATTTTCTTGAAAAACAAAGCCAAACGAACATCAAAAGATCCAAAATTTCAACATTTTTCCGATGGAAAATTATACTAATCAAATACATTTAATCGATAATTTTCAGTAAAACAAGTTCTAGTCAATTCAATTCCCTGGGATTCGTTTTCTTTTTACCCAAATTCCATTCTTGCAATCAAACGGACCCTTAGTTCATTTACGTTTTTACTTTTCAATTTATTTTTATTTTCATTTAGGAGGCTTGGGGCTGGGGGCAGATCAATGCAATATTGTTGCATTCATCCATTAGGCAAAGAAGGGGTAGAATAGAAAGTGTGGAGCCTTACAACAATAATACCCCCTTATTCCCTATCTTTGTATTTCTTACAAAAAAAAAAAAAAAGTTAAAATATATTATTTCAGTAGATGATGCTGAAACTGTGAAAGTTGGAAGTGTACACTTATCCCAAAAGGAGAGACACTTCATTTTTATTTTTCGTTTTTAGAGGGGAGGTATGGGGTTTGCATGTTGGGAGATGTGGAGTTTTATGTAACGATTAGTGAGATTTTTTTATTCCCTGCCACATTGATGGGTTTGTTGTATATTCTGTTTGTTCATACCTTTTCCTGTTCATGGAGTGAAAATTAATTCCTGGGGAATGACTCTTTTTTTTTTTTTGGCCTTACTTTACTCCTTCTGTACTGCTAGCTTATTATTTTGCTGCATGTAGCAGCTTCATCCGTCCAATGCCTCTAACTTTCATGTATAAATTTTTAGGGCTTCACAAAAGAGATTTACATGGAGAGGGAGAGATGGCATGGGTAAGTTAATTTCATATAGATTCAAAGTACAAATTACCTTTTTATAAATTAATTTTAGGATCTGTACTTGGCTATAATATGCGTTAAGTATCTGATTGCGTCATTCATGGAATGGAGGAGTTCATTCACATTTTGTCTATGGTCTCTTTTGGTCAAGTTCAGAATTCAGAAATTTCATTTCTCGGGGACAATAGTCATAGTAGATCCCTGTTACCTAGGATGCTTCAATTGACTTCATTCTCAATAATAATTTGTTGGACTGATCATGAGTAATATTTGCTTTTTCTTTTCAGCTATATTAAAGATTATGATGGAGGGATTCTCATGGAATGTAAAATTGATCCAAAGCTTCCATATACTGATTTATCAACCATGATACGTCGTCAAAGGCAGGTAAGAGGATCATCTGCTTATTCAATTTATTAAAGACTAAAGGGATTGGGCACTATTAATTTTACTTGAAGTATTGTAGTATAGGAAACAACGACCACTAGGTAACTCTAGAAACTTTGAGAGCTAACAATGTGGTTGACTATAATTATTGCAGTCCTCATTCCCCACTCCTGCACCCCATCTCATTTCAAGTACATGCTCAATATGACAGCAATTTACTTTGTCTTTCTGATGGATAGGCAATTGATGAAAAGATTAGAGAGCTCTCAAATTGTCACATTGTTTACCCTGGAATTGATTTTCAGAAGGTATATGCACTCACTTGTCTTGTTATTCACTTATTCTAAGTTCTTGTATCATCTGATGAGTCCCTCTTGTACGTCTGTTTCTGGTGAATTCCATCTTGGGGGCTGTCATTGTTATTAGTATGCTTGACAACAGGAATGAGGTTTCCACAATTTAGTCAACCTCTAATTCTATGGCCTTACCATTAGCAAAACTTGTTTCAATTGCTTATCATTAGGAATTCGAACAACTGCTTCAAATACAGGCACGTGGAAACTACACAAAGATACGTGCTTAGGTACCCACAATCCAAGATCAAGGAAGTAAATTATATTCTAGATCCTTTTTTACATTTTGGGAATCAATTGGTGGGTTTGTTGTACATAAAAGAGTGCTTGTAACTATTGATGAGTTTCACTCTTCCCACTTCACCTCACTCTCTCACTCACCCACCCACCCTGAAAAAGGAAAAAGAGAAAGGTAAAAGAGGTGAATAGAGTGAATGGCATGAAACATTGATGTTGTTTGCAGAGCTTACATTATTCTTGTACATGTAATTAACCCACTAACTGCAGTCTTATCATTATTTATTTATTTATTTATTTTTGAAATTTTATTCTGTCATTCAATATATGTTCTGATGTTTTTGAAAAAAATTGTATAAACGTAGTACTGATATGAACCGTTTCATACAGAAAGAAGTCGGTATTCCCAAAAAAACCATTAAAGTTGATGATATTCCTGGTTTAAGTAAGTTCTTTCTCCTCTTCATATTTAACCAGTTTTCTATAATATCCTAATGGAAAAGGACCTCCCACCATTCAGTTTCTACATGCTCATCTTCCAAGTTATGGGCTTGCATGTTCTTGGTTTGGAAATTCAGTCCTGATGACAATCCCCTTTCTTTTTCTTCTTCTTTAGTCTTGCATCATCAGTCAGAAATTTTACACCTTGGTAGAGCTGGACATGGTCCAGTTTGGTTCTAACCAAAACCGAAGTTTCAAGTATGTAGTAAGTGAAATCGTTGGGTCCAAATTTAATTATGAAACCGCTCGAATTCGGTTCGGTACGGTTCTATTTGGTTCGGTTCCCGGGTTTCGTTCAATAATTAAATTTTTAATACTTACAACAACGCTATGTTAATTATACTAATGACATGCTCGATTTTAGCTTTTACAAAATAAAATAGTTCAATCCTGTAATATCTTTTGCGTCTCTTTTTATTGAGTTTTTCGTATATTTGACTGTTAAAATAACAGGAAAAGAAAGATAGCGATTTTACAATAATGAAGAGAGGCGCAGCTAAGCTTTCAATTTGATTTCTATAGAATGGTAGAAACAATACTCTAGTAAAATAAGAGATTTGGGTAAAACTTATGTCAATTTGATTAAGTTGACTTGGGCTGAAAATTAGAAATAGAAAAATCATTTTTTTCAGTTTAGGCTAAATTAATTAGTTAGCAAATTTATTTAGAAAAAAAATAATTTGACTTACTTAAGATAAACAAATTAGGGAAATTTGGTTCTTTAGATACCCGTTCGAATATTTAACTTAAGATGAAATGCTTGGTTCTCGTCCAGTTCAGTTCGAGAGTTTTGTCCACCACTATATCTTGGCACATATGATGTATTTTCTTTCTAATATGAACTTGCTGTGACCTGATAATAGGGGAGGCTGGATGGACACCTGATCAGTACGGTTATTCTCGGTTTAAAACAATAAATTTATCATCTGATGGTGCCTCACATCAGAAATCATTGGTTGCATTCATGCGGTCACTTGTGAAGGCAAGTCTCCTAAGTTTTTCTCTTTTAAGCTTCTTTTTCTTCCATATCAAAAACCAAGTTATTATGACTGGGTAGCCCCCAACCAATCACAAATTGGTACAATTGTACCAAAAAAACTTGCACTAATGTACTTGATCTCTAAACTTGGATCCAACTTTTTTTCTTTTTCTTTTTTTTTTTTTTCCTGTTGCTACATATTCTTAATCTTCACATGGAAACATCTTCAAATGATATTGTAAAACTTGAATGTAACCTTTTTCATGGAGACTGGTAACCCCATGAACTAAATAATGATTTAAAATATTTAAACTTTCACTTACACAATTTAGGGCATTTTCTCAGTTTGGGATGGATATACCTGTCTGTCATTGTGCATTATTGAAGATGCTTAATCTGAGATGTTCTCAGATTATGCTGGACGACCAAGTATGTTGGGGAACGTGGTTATATATTATTGACTGTGATACTTCTTTAAAAATAATCACATTTATCAAGTAGATTAAAAGAACGTTCTCCGCAAGGGATTCCACTTACTGTGTCATACTTTTCAGTTATATTAGGCGCTATTGATATCTTTTCTTTTTGAACAGGCAATGCACGATCATCCCGATGCTTGGCCATTCAAAGAACCAGTCGATGCGCGTGATGTGCCTGATTACTATGACATCATTAAAGATCCAATGGGTATATTTCTTATCTATCTGTCTTGACATTGAAATGGTGAATCTTTTTTCTCAAATTTCAAGGAGTTAAACTAGTGGTTAAAATCTGCAAAGTTTTGGATGATCTGCCTTTTGTATCGTCTTTATTCTCGTCTGATGTCTCGTAGTCAGTGTTCTATATATTCACGTGATGAGATCCGTGTTTGGTGCTATAATATTCTGATGCTTTATCGTGCATTATCTGGTCCGCAGATCTGAAAACATTGTCAAAGAGGGTAGAGTCCGAGCAGTATTATGTGACTCTTGATATGTTTGTCGCAGATGTGCGGAGAATGTTTGCTAATGCGCGGACCTACAACTCCCCTGATACAATTTATTATAAATGTTCGACCAGGCATGAACTGCAGTGCCTCTGAGAAGCTAGAAGTTTCCTTTCCTCTCCAATGTGTCTATTGTTTATATTTTAATCTGGCGTCTTTCCCATTGCTGGCTTGCAGGTTGGAAGCACATTTCTCGAACAAAGTTCAAGCTGGTCTCCAATCCAGCATCAAGATTCAGCCTTAAGTGGTTCCTGCATAAATAGTAAAACTTAAGAAATGCAGTAACCCAGATAGCGCTTATTTATGAGTTAAACTAGTTGTATGTTGATTGTGTACAACTAGTTCGACAGATGCATGCTTATCCATTGATTCAATGGACAAATGCACGCCACGCATATATCCGTTAATCTGTCTGTACAAAATCAATGTACATGTAGCAGAATTGTTTATTTATTATAAATGTGTCAATTATTAGTCCAGTTAATTAACGGTAGTTAGAGCATGTTTGAGTTCGACTACTATAAACATTTGGAGCCCGACACCAACAGTTGTACATTATTTCATTAATCGCACAGCAATAGTTCTTGCTGTAACATAGGGGAGAGAAATTTGAAATCTACGGAAATTTTTGAATATCAATATACCTCTCTTGTTGCTCTTTTTTGGTGGCTACATTATTTTTAGGATCATGGCACGTATTGTTCCAATTAGAAGCTATTCGTTAGAATTAACAAATTTTCTGCTGGAAAAGTTTCTGGCTTGGAGTAGATTGCCCACGTCGTATTGGGCTAACCTCAAAAAGTTCACTTATAAGTAAGATCCTGCTTGGTTTGGGTAAAGATAAAAATTTTAGTAAATATTGACAAATATTAATTAAACGTGATTGAAAATTTGATAAAAGTTATGAATTCCGCAAAATTTGTGATTAAAAATGAGAAGTGAAAATACACTTTAAAAATTTGGGCCCAAACAACACGTGACATTACTGTATAAGTTATTTTCTTTCAAAAAAAAAAATACTCTTTTAAGAAAATCATAACTTAATCCGGAAGTAAATTTACTTAGAATAATTTTTACTTATTTTGAGGCTTAGATAAACAGGCTCAAAAATAATTTTTACTTATTTTTAGGCTTAGAGAAAAAAGTTAGCTAAGTCAAAATTTAATTTTAAACCAACCCACAACTATAAACTTTTAAACCACACATTTCATTAACTTTTATCAAAATAAAATCTGATATTTAACAAAATCAAACAGGAGCTTAAATGCTTTCAAACTGTAATCCTATGTCAAGTAACAAAATTCTAACCAATTCACTTGCTGCAAAAGAGATTCAAAACAAAATTATTTCATCACAACAGAGCAATCTTCAAGGATTTGGTGAAGTTTTCCAACTCTTTCAAGCCTTCTTCAGGAGATTTTGCTTCGCCGAGTACTTTTACCATCGCACTACCAACAATCACACCATCTGCACCCCATTCAGCCACCTGTAATGCAGTATATTTAGTGGACTTACTCATACTTTTTTTTTTTTTTAATAGAATGTGTGGTTAAAAAGTGGGGAAAAATTTTGGACTTACGAGTAAAATATTTTATTATGTGAATGTGGAGTTGAAAATGAATATGTAGAAAAAAGAGTTTTGAAATAATGGTTATCAAACAATGCGTTAAAAGGATAATAGGATAATGGTCAACGGTATTGAAATATATTGTCAAAGATGGACCTGTTTCACATGCTCGGGTTTTGATATACCAAAACCAACTGCTACTGGCTTGCTCGTTGCCTGTCAAAATGACAATCGAGTACATGGAATAAGGGTTGGAAACAGGGAAAAAAGTGAAAATGCAAAATAGAAGACAGGTTAATGAGAAAATCTGGAGCACAAGAGGTACCGGGGATAAACTGCATGATCACCATATTTACCTCTTTAATTTCATGTAGGAGAGATTGGACCTTATCACTGACAGATGTACGAGCTCCCGTAACTCCGACTGAACTCACCTATGAAAAATAAATAGATAACTTCAACTGGCAGAAGTCGACAGTAGAGTAAATTACACTATTAAATGGGGAGAGACGTTTGTCTTACAGAAAGAAGTAAAAAAGTTGAATGATAATGTCTTCCATGTATTACAATTGGTTTCATTATCAAGGCAAAAATTTGTAGCAAGGTTATTAATAGACCAATGCGTGTAATTTATCAGTTCAAAGAATACTTGCCAAATTACTAAAGATTTGAAGGACCTAAAACAAGATAAAATTTTCGTTTTGGAAAAGTAAACCTTAGCCGGGCAAGGAGAAAAAAAGCATTTCAGTATATAGGTTTTTACTGTGACTTTGAGGCGCACCGCACATGTTTGAAGTATCATATGAAGCCATTGCCGTTAAAAGAGGTTCAAACAAAAACATTATCAACAGCAAGAATTTAAGTAAAAATGCATGTTTGACATACAAAATCAACAGAAAAGAGGAAGGACAAGCTTTGCAATAATCAAGACAGTTGCACGTGCCAGAGACATTCGGCAAGAATTTTTTGACCAAAAAAGAATCTGTAATACTGCAGATCCCTCAATTAAGAAAAGGAAAATAAGCAACTTACAAGGTAGACGAATCCCTCTGAGGCTTCAACAATGGCTTTCATTCGCGGTATAGGAGTTGTGGGTGTTGTGAGCAGCACCTTACATAGCAGACGAGAATCAAGAAAGTGGAAAATCATAAAGAAAATGAGCCAACTAAAGTCACAAGCATGACCAAGTGAACAGATAAAATAATGACTTAAATATCGTATTCTTTAAGAGAAAAACATGTTTCTCAAGAAATGCATTTCACAAGGACAGGACAAACATTTTTAAAGAGGTTCCATAATTTGTAGTACTTCCTTCTTAGACAAATTATAACGACTCACTACTTAATTGAAAGTGCACCAACTACACTTTTTTAGATTGTACTTATCTGAAATAAAATTAATCCAATAGTTCATGAATAGAAAGTTATGATATCTAGACAATCACGCACATTAGATAGACTTAAAGAAGTTATCTGTCCTCTATGGCAACCACGTTAGTCAATAACCGGTCACCAGTTTAAAAATCAGATGGCTCGCCACTTGCAAGCATGTATCAGACTACAAAATGAGGTAATATATGCAACTTTACAAAGCTCACTCAAAGAACAAAAATCATTAATTTGGAACACCAACCAGTTCCACATTGTTATTAACAGCTTCCTTTCTCAATATCTCTGTCTCCTCAAGAGGGACATCTGGTACGACAAGACCTGAAAAGATGAAGAAAGTAAGTTAAAATATTTCGACAGAAAATTTGTCAAAACATAGTGAAAAAAAAAATGAACTGCTTTGGCAAAGTATAACAACATATTACCATGTATCCCGGCATCTTTCAAAGTGGTCATGAAGGTTTCTATGCCACGCTTCAGTATTGGGTTATAATATGAGAACAGTGCAATTGGACAAGATAATTGAGGTATTACCTGCAAAAAAGAATAAAATATCGCCTTAAGAAACTACAAGTCTATTACAGAACCGAGCGTAGTCTGCATCCATTGACGAGGAATATAGATTAACCAAAACTGTGCATTACATTCAGTCTATTTTATTTGTGACTGATTAGATATAGTAACATCAAAAAGGTAAACTTACATCCTTCAACATTGCTATAATTTTATCAAAGTTAATCCCTTTAGCTAGCGAACGTGTAGCAGCAGCCTGTGTAAACAAAACAAGACTCAGAAAAATGAATCGGCATCAATTAGGAATTCGAATCTACGACACAATAAGTATCTAACCACATATTTGAACCTGGATAACAGGACCGTCAGCCAATGGGTCTGAGTAAGGCACTCCTAATTCTATAATGTCTGAGCCACATGAATCAAGGACCTTCAGCGCTTGAGCTGTGGTCGAAAGATCGGGATCGCCAGCCGTTATATATGGGATAAATGCCACCTTTTTTAAATAAAAACATGCTAATTAATTCAAACATTGCACTTAGAAAATTGTACATAAAACATTATCAATTAATATTGTGAAAGCGTGTAAACCGATATGATTTACACTTTGCCCAATGATTGGAGAAATTATCCATTATATCCTATAGGTGATTCCCCTGCCCCCAACCTCTTGCAGAAGAACTGATCAAAACTTGACTACATAAATGCAGAAACTTATAATAAAATTAGCAACCAAACTAAGAAATAAAGCACAATGGCATCATTTCTCTCATTTTATGTAAGTACCATTAAAAAAATAAAATAAAAGGAAGGCCCAAAATCCGATTCCCCTTCCAAACGCTCAATAAAAGAACCAAAAACTGAGTTCTAGCTATTAATTCAAAGCAGAAGCAGTAAAACATTGAACTTGAAATTCATAATGAAAGATAAACCAGAAAAGGAAATAGGAAAGATTCAAGAATGCCGCTTACTTTGCCTTGTCGTTTCAATTTGGAAAAAGTCTCAGAGAGTCCAACAGTAGGGACAGTGGCGAGAGTAGCCATGGGAGGCTTAAATCGGAATGGCTTGATTCTTGGAAGTGAATGGCCGCCGGGTTTAGTCTGGAAGAAGAAGCCCGCCTTCAGAGTGGCAGCCATTGATTTGATACACCCTTCTGGATTTGAGATGTTGAAGCGTTTACTTTTTAATTTTTTTTAATAGGTATTTAATTGTTTTTTATCCACCTATTTATAAAAATTTAATAAATTATTACATTCGAATATTATTCTTAATATGTTCATTCATTTAAATACTATATATTTCACACCACTTTTACATATATATTACACTTTAAGGGAATTTTCCTCAATTGAAATTGTGATGGATTTTAAAAATCCTTCTAAATTTATGTATCTTCAATCAAGATTTTATTGAATTTGAATAAAATTCATTAAAATTGAGGTGTTTCCAATTGAGATCTTAATGAAATTTAATTAAACCTTTCCAAATTTAGGTAGGGTGATTATATTATCATCACAAAATTTAATTAATATATCACATTATAATCACACAACAATTAAAATATATTTTCAATAAATATAACACAGCAAATCTAGAAATATACTGCTAATACAATATAAACGAAAAATGAAGAACAAAATACATTATTGTCGTATATTCATCCTCCCAATATTACTTATTATTATTTTTCAACCCTTTCTGTCCTATTTAATTAATTAGATTGTTTGATTTAGTAGGTCCATATATTTTTCTGGGTTTTATTTATATATTGATTGCAATTACTTTTTGTTCTTATTCCGTCTAATGTTTGAAATGCAAAATTACTGCAACTAACTTTTACTATAAATTTCTTGCTTGGGTATGAAAGATTAATATACTTCTATCAACTGACCTGTAATTTTTTGCTGATTGAGTTTGAATTGTGATCTTTGGTTGACAAATGAATATGAATTATTTTTTGGATTGAATCTGACAAGAACAGAAATTAAGAGAAGAAAAAAAAAAACAAAATAAAGATTTATTTATAAATTTAAGACAAAGCTTGGGGTAAATAGTCTTCTTTAAGTAGATCCCTTGCTTTCACTGTTTCTTTATTCTACGAAGATTAATGCTTGGTGTACAGAGAAAAATTTTACAGAAGAAATACAGATGTTTCACAATAGCGTGGGCCC